ACTTCTGAAAAATTAAAAATTGTATTAATTAATTTTATAAAATTAAATAGTAAAACAATTTGATAAAATCAAATGGTGAAAGCATTTTAGAAAATTGTATAAATTATTTAGACAGTTTCAACTGTAAAATATTTTTAAATATATTTGCGATAGAGTAATTACCAGTTATTTGGTAATCCTTGAACAGGAATATTGACCTCTTGTTGCTAAATATATACCACCGGATGCTACTTTCTCATCTGTTTAAATACTCACAATTCGGTTGGTCGCAATCACGTGAATCAAAGCACCGGCAGAGAAATATTGCTCAGCAAGTTCGTTTCGCGGAGTTGCGCGGACTGATTTGCGTTCTCGTTGCGTTCCGCGTACAAAGCGTGCAACGTTGCACACGATTTGCGCAATTTCATGTGAAGAAGAAACGACTGACGAAATAAGCGATTTAACGGACACGAATTTTCGTTGAGATCATCCGAGACCAATTTAAAATTAATGAAGATTAATTCTAAGGATATACTTACTGAATATTCGAAGACCATAAAAGAATTTTTTTCTTTTTATATGTAATATATTTTGATGTATAAAATACGTTACGATGGAGCTTGTAAATTATAAAAGAAATGAGTAATACACAAATTGTATATTTAAATACATTACAGTTTGCAGAATAATGCAGAATATAGGATAATTTAAAATGTAATATTAACATATTCGTGATCGGTAAATTTTTCGCTTTTCTAATACTCATTGTCGGTGAAAATGAAGAAAATTTTAAGCTAATCCTATGCTAAAAATGAGAAAAGTTGTTTCGAAATATGAGTCTTGTCACGATTTGTTGTTTGAAGTGAAAAACTTTCCGTTAAAGCAGTCGCAAATGGAAAATATCAGGAGAGTAAAATATTTTGAATTGACATTGTGGATTAGCACTAAACGCATCGTCATTGTATATACACACATTCTTACCGAAACCGGTCACATAGTTGGCTATATGAAGGTAAACAAACAAAACGATAAATTTTTCGAGTGAAAACAGAAACAAAAGTAAAGGCAAACATCGGAAAACTGATTAATCGGATAATATAGGAATTGATATTTATACAAAAATGATTTAAAAAACGAAATGAATATCATACATCCTCAATATAAAAAAAGCAATCATAAAAATCGTAAAATAAAAACAATTTTTTTGTTTTTGAGAAAATTATTGTCAATTTATATCTTGTGAAAACATTAAAATTGTATAAACTAATGTTGATAGAATTAAATAGTAAAAAGATTTTATAAAATCAAAGAATAAAAGCATTTTAGAAAATCAAATAATAAAAGTGAAGTGGGCGAAAGAAAATGCAGAATTTTTAATCGAATTTTGGAACGTACGTTCAGTTTTAAGAATAATTAAACGAAATTACGGAACACTGTTAGCATGTAAAACAATGTTTTCCTGTGTATACTATTAATAGCGATAAGTCGAAGTAGTACATTTTTAGAGAACAAAGACCTCTTGGATTGTGCAACTACCATTCGGAAATAAGAATCTATATAAAGAACAATTTCCTATTGTCCCGTACGCTATAGCCATCGCGGTGCAGAGTGTATATACGATTTTTTTTATCAACGGCACGACCAATGTCTAATAAAACATTCCATCGTTCTCATTCCAAATTTATCTCTTGGAAATCCGTGTAAGTGTAATGACGGCCATCACAGTTCCATAAATATCGGTGTCTATGGTCGTCTGCGAAGAAAAATCTAATGTATTATACCGATGTGGAAACGAGGTATTGAATAATTCCCTGCTCCCAAGAACTTTAACGTAGTAACCTAGAATCATTCTAAAAAAATTGTACAGTGAAAAGGGTAGCGATGAACATTCTTAATAATCCTCAGGAGAAAAAGATATTTGCACGGATGCGTCTCTGTGTGTGTCAACAGATTAACATTTTCTTTATTTCATGTGCGATTTATTTAAAAAATTGATAGTATGAAACTTAATAATTGGAAGTTTTTAAGAAAATGTATAACATTTTTTTTAATGAAATCATGATGGGATGAATTATATACCTAATTTTACTGTTGTGTCAGTTGATAACACAATAATGAATAAATGCTTTTCAAGATTAATTTGCATCTCTGGTTTATAATCCTATATCGTTTATAATTAGAAGAATTATATTATTTATTACGTATAACCGACAAGGGTATTATTTTTGTAATGCAATTGTTATAAATACAAATATTAATACCCTCAGGGCCAAATTATTTGTAACAATTTATTTAAATTATATCGTACCATTTGATAAGCCGTTGAAGCACGGTAATGAGAAATTTCGTATAATTATTCACGCATATGGCAGTTGTGACACTTTTACAAAAATTCAATAAGGATTACTGCGATGCCTCATTAAATACGGATTAAACAATGGCATGCTGTTCGAACACGACCCTTTCAATTTCGTTCACCTAGTTTGTGCACAATTAATTACGAAAATAACTGTATCTACAACAAAATGACAAGTTGTCAAAGTGAAATTTCTATGAAAATCGAAATTATTTGATCGTGGCACGATTTAATTTTATTAAAGAAATATATAGTTTACACGAAATCATTTTTTGTCACAGTAATATTAAGAGAACGTCGACATTAAGTTACGAAAAAATCTATTTTATAAATATTTATAAATATTTATATTTAAAAAATATTTATAGATAAATCAAAGTGTTTACAAGTTATCGTTTTATTGTCCATTCGTCTTTTATAATTGTTCTTATTTTCTGTCTGCTTACAGGCAACCCAATGGTGGCTCAATGACATGTACCTCTCTGTCCCATTGGCTCTACCTATCAATAGTAATCCAGGCCTGGTTGCAAGACCGAAACGATTTTCCAATCAAAAGGAAGCAGCAGTGTTCCTTGCCAGATTCCTAACAGAGCTGCTTAATTATCAAGAGCTGCTGGATGCGTAAGTATATTGAATAACGAATGTATTTTTTTCTAAATTTTTCCAATATCTTTACAAATATTCCTCTATTTTTTTACAAAGAGAAAAAAGTAGATTTGCTATTTAACATCTTCACTGAATTCTTACGTAATCCACTAAATATTTCTTAAAAATAAAATTTAACAAACATTGCAATTTGAAATTGAAATGACATGATCTGATTAATCATCTAACAACAAATTGCCTCTGTTGCACAGCGTGGAAAAAAAAATTACAATCGATTTTTCAAAATTCTTTTACATACACGTATCACATCGGAAAATTACTGTACTATTCTAATTCATTACTCTAGTTAAACAAAATCTATTCAACCCTATCCAATCACAAGAAAACAAATAAATCGATACATTGAAAGAAATAAATAAAAAATCGAAATCACCGATAAAGGTAACATCATTTATTAAAAGCATAACTCAGAAAGATTTATCTATTCGTACTTATACAGTCAACCCTTAAAACGCGTTCATTTACTTTCACATTCCTTACGCACTTTATAATTATAACAACACGTATATAAATCTTATACAAATTTACCAAATATCCAGGCGTATGAATTGCAAAGAAAAATTGGTAATAAAAAATAAATTGCTCAAGCGGAATTCCAAACTTCCCGCCAGCAATTGATTGTAAAAAAAAAGCAAGGCGGATTTAGCAAGACGCCCCGACGAATTTGCGTTAATTCCCGAAAAGAAAGAAAGAAAGAAAAAAAGAAAGGAAGCATTCCTTCCTGGTTCCTTCCTGAACCGGGCGCGGAATAAAGGCTTTCATCCTTTCAATGCAGGAGCATCCTTTACGTTTCTCTCGCAACGAGTCTCTTTATGCCCGCGTCCTGGGGATCTTAGATCCCGGATTTCCTCGCAGACGTGCTCCCTTCGCTAAATTGATTTCGGTGCGGCTTCTTTTTGTCCGCCCGACAAATCAGCTTCGAATGACAGAGCTTTTCGGGGAAAGCTCGGGTTAGATGCAGTCGACTTCGCTCCTTCGAACCGACACTTCGCTGTCGACGATTAGATTAGTCAGCTTCTTCCGTAGCATAAATGGAATTGAACTTTTTTTGGCAGATTTTGATGCTCACGTGTTATACGGTCTACCTTTGTTTTTAACCCCCTACCTTATGAACTATTTCTTAACTATGATTCATACAACTACTGTATCATTAATAATTTATTAGGCAAACGAAAAATTTCTGATACTTATCCTATGCCTACGTCTACCCCAAATAGTAACCATTGCAAATAGAAAATTAATATTTAATTTAGATTTTTGAAAATTAAATAATACTCAGGTTTTACAAATCCAGTTTAAAATTTTCGTCACGAGTTTGACACGATATTGTAGGGTCATAATAATGAAGTATTGATAATAATAGTAATAATAACAAAATATTAATAATGTGTTGTAGTATTAAATAAATACTAAACCAGACGTAATCCAAAGTCCCTATAATACGTAAATATATACCTAGTTTTTTATTATTCGAAATTTATTACAGAAATTGTAAACAATTTTATTTAAATACTATTAAAATTGATTGATAATATGAAGTCATTTGAATAAGGATAGGAGGACTTTTTATAAGGATTAATAAGGATTTTCAATCTAAAAAGCTTGCAACAATCGTTTTGTAAATTATAATGTTCCGTAAATAAGAAATAAATATAATATTTAAATAACTTGATTATGCATAATGGAAACGATTTATTTTTAGAAATGGTCTAGAACCCGATAAGGTAAAGTCGAAAAATGGGAAGGGTATGCAACCTCTATGTATGGCACAACATTACCAAATGTTCCGCATTTATCGACGACCTGGGATCAACGGTGACGAACAAGTTATACTTGACAGGGCTACATCGGGTGATCACATAATCATTGCACATCACAACCAGGTATTACCGTAAAGCATCAATTATTAAAAACATCAAGATTTTTCTCAAATGCATTCCTATTTTTGAAGCTAATATATCGAAGTACAGGTAATTTAATTTTTTCTTTTGAAATAAATATGAAAATGTCAATTAAATATAATATTCCATGTTTCCGAAGCAATTTAGTGTATTAAAACAGAATTTAATTAATAATTTGAAAGATTTACCAATTTTTTTTATCCCTTTTATGATCAGAAGAATGTTAATATACATTCTGAAATATTACAAAGAAAACGAACATTTTCAGACCACAAAATGGCGAGAATTGTTTAAAACATAAGTAAAGTAGATGCTGAATACAATAATATATTATTTGAGATATTGATAATGGAAGAAATTAGTGATATGAACTGTATTAAGACACTTGAAATCAATTAACCCAAAAGAAAAATAGCGGCAAATCTGTTTAACCCTTTGCTATTTGAAGATTAATAATTCGTTAATAATTTACTAGAAAAAGAAAAAAAATTCTATATCCGTTTTGTATCTATGTTTCTTGTGAAGCATACCAATTAATAACAAAGAAGAAGAATATTTAATTAAGAATCAAAAGAATTGAATGATATTTACATTTGTTAAACTATATTTAAAATCTTGCGTTGGAAAACTATGAGTTTCACACGATATTCTAAAATAAGGAGCTAATGTTTCAGTACACTTGGACTTTTAACCCCTTGAACTGAAGATTTTAAAAGGAATTTAACAAATATAAATATTACTCAATTGTTGTGGATATAAATTGAATATCATTCTTCTGTTATCCATTGTTATGGTTTAGAGCTAATATAGACATAGAATACGACTAGAATTTTTCTCTCTTTTCAATAAATTATTAATAATAAAGTGGGTGTATCGATTATAATTTAGAAAGAAATCGTAAAGTAAAGAGTTAACGCTTTCTCCATTACAAAGTATATTCCTTTTTTTACGGTTATATGTGTAAGAAACAATATACGTTTGGTAGTTTTATAGTGTGCCAGTCAGAGCACCGGACAGAGCTCGTATAACAGAAGCGGAACTAGTCCAGCAGATTCTAAGCATCATGGAAACCAAAGCTGATCCCAGGACTCCACCTGTCGGTATACTTACGACCGCAAAGAGACCAGCTTGGGCAAAAGCCAGGGAAGAATTACTAAAACGTAAGTGGCTCAGCATATTTGCAACTGGCATTACAATTATTATTTCAGAAGTTCTGTTCCAATTCTAGCTGTACTTTCCTGAATTTTCAACAAACCAAGTTTCCAATGAAAATTTCACTCCTTTATGACATTCGTAGAACAGAAACATGAAGTTTAAATTCAGATAACAGCATTTTATTTATTACTTTGTATAAAACATTTATACATGTAAAAATTATAAATTTCGTAAAATCGAATAGCATAAAAATGTGTTTTCTGTTTAATCCAGTTTATGTAAGTGACTTCGAAAATATACAATCTTGGTAAGGATCTACTTTTGGATTTCTATAAAGATATTATTAAGATTACAATATATGTAAATGTGAGTTTCTTGCATTTATATCGTATTATAAAGCACAAAACGAAATGAAGAGGAAACTTACAATTAATGGAAGATTGGTAAAACTTGTATTATGCCGTGCACGAGTTGCCAAAGTTTTATTTTAATAGATTTCATCTGATATATTTTATTCTTAGAAATCTACAATTTCATTCGTACAAAAATCAGTGCTTGCCAACATTCGAGTTAACTTAAATCAATAAAAAATTGTACCGCAAACTTCATTCTAAATAAATGTTGTAATCAAATCTCGCTTAATTGGTATTATAGACAGTCATCGATTTATTACCGTACTCCGTGGAAGAGACAATGGGAGTTACACATTTACCAGACAACTATAGTAATCTCGTTGCAACTTTTCTTGTACCCCTAGCCACGGCTCTCTCCGCCGCGGAGCGCTGTCATAATTAACCGCCTGTTCTATGTTCACCAGTATTCGCAATATTCCCATTAGCTCCCTAACCCGACCTTACTCAACGAGACCCTATAACCTTGGTCTACAAATCGAATAAACTATCGTATAACGAGCTAACGATCATGAAGGAAGTTTACCCTCATTTATCCAGCAAACCAATAATTATTAGGTTATAGAGTAAGTAACTTTCTTGTACCAAAATTCATTTAGGTATGCGGTAATTTTTCAAGGACCATTACTCGAGTAAATTCGAGCAACTATTTTATTTTATGAAAAATAGAGTATAGGAAAATATTATTGATATTTAACAAAAAATAAAATATACTTGTAAAAATAAATATACCTATGTAAGGAGAATAGTTAAATAGGTCTCCGTATAGGATTCAGTACCTCGCTAAAAAAAATTGAAAATATTTCACAATCTTAATGAGATCGTGTCATCTCGCCTGGAATTACTCTATAAGAAAACAATACATGTGAAATATTTGGATGACGAGGTGAGAAAACTGGAATAATAGAAACAGAAACAATGTTTATTAAAGCTAAGTACCACGTGAACATGTAGTACTGGTTTCAATTTAACCAGTTAACTGCGTTTTTTCAACTATCAGTTCTTCATTTTTTCAGACAAACATGTAATTTTTCTTTGGTTTACTCTGGTTTTTCATTGAAATATACCCTAGGTGCATTCGTGCTGCGTTTGGCTAGTGCACACTTCATTTTTTGATTTTATTGTGTGCAAAACGAGAGATTTTTCAAACTAAATTCCACAGTTAACGGGTTAAATGAACCGATACAGCCTTTTGCTTCAATGGCCAACTCACGACTCTCTTCGAAATTCGTCTTGCAACAGGCACCACGGTAAAATCATTCTCTCCTCATTTTCTTTGCACTCGTACTCTTGACAAAGCATTTGAACGCACTCCTTCAAGTCCTTTCGAACAGAACTTTAAACGCTGGGCTTGCGTTTACAGAAAAGGTGTCCAACCTTTTAGCTTTCCTAGGCTTGATTGGAAGAAGACGGGTTGTTATGGACCACATATAAATTAGTAGCATGTTCAATTTGTATTTATAGTATCGTTAATACATCTCATAAACTTTGTAAGCTTATAAATTTTTCTTGGGCTGCGTGTTGGACAAGCCTGGTTTACAGTTTTCTATTTTATAGCCCTTTCCCTGTTCCTTCGCACGCATTCATCGTCACATTCATACTTCCTAAGCCACAAACCTAAAATATACCAAATAAATATCGGATTCTGCAATAGAAATGAATATTTAAGAACAACTTTTGAACTTTTCACTCGTGACGACAGAAGAAGGTGTCTTTGGTTTGAAATTTTTAGTTTCATGATTCATGTATGCATATGCAACATTTTCATCCCTCACCTAAGGCCAGACCTGCGTTTATACAATGGTGCGCCGCACACGAGTCTAAAGTTCACTCGAAAGGGTCGATTTAATGAGGAGACGTGCACCAAAGGAACCGTCGAACCGTTGAGCTGCGCATGCGAATACTCGCGCGAGCATTGTAAACGAATCAAGCTCTTAATTTTCTTGGGCTCCTATGTCTTAAGTATGTCAATAAGACTCCATATTTAACCCCTTCTCCTGTAATATCGTGTCAGACTCGTGATAAAAATTTTCAGTCGTATTCGACAAATCTAAATGTTATTTATTTATTTTTAGTATAAATGAAATGTTACTTGTCTATAGTAATCTTTAAGCTTTAGAATAGACGTAGAAACAGAATAAGCATAAAATTCTTTTCTTTTCCTACTAAATTATCAACGATAAAATAGTTTTATTATGCACACATGGAAATGAAATCATAGGACAAGGTGTTAAGAACAAATCAAAACTTGCATATCTTTCTTTTCCTCGTGTCTTTTCGAGTAATTTTAAACGACGAAAAAGTAAAATATAATGCTTGAAAAATGGCACCATTTCACATGACAAATTTATAAACTAAACTACAATATAATATTTTTATGGGTAGATATCTTAATTCCAATAAAACTCAGCAAAACAATTCTCACAGAACGAAATTTTCTTTCAAGATTTATTCGTGATGTAATATTTATTCACCTGAATTTTCAAGTTAACCACTTTCAAGTTATTTAGTTTCAAATTAAAGTTTCAAGCTATGTAGCTTCAAATTTGTATACAAAAGGTAATCAACTTCCACGAAATAGTAATACAAATGGCATGAAATATTGAGCTACCTAACTATCATACAAAACCCTTTACCTCTTTTGAACTTATAATATTACCGGAAAGTGGTGAAAAATTTTAGACTATATTATTATGTACTTAATATACTCTTAATAAGAATCAACGTTAATAATAATAAGAAATAAGAGAGCGAGATACTTGCAGATGAACGAAATCGGCACAATTTGGAATTACTGGAATGCTGTCTGTGTGTGGTCTGCATCGATGACGATGTCCTGCCTGCCACATTCAACAACTCTTTGAAGAAAGAGGATCGGTGGATAGGGGATAGAGATTTTGCGAACGTGCTTCATCACGCTCTGCACGGTGGAGGTTCCAGACATTTGGGCGCGAATCGCTGGTTCGATAAAACTTTTCACGCTATACTCGGCAAGGTAGGTATACACAAGAGATCCCTGTTTTATGTGTTTGCGAATACACGTAAGGGTAGAAGACCACTCGATGACTAGGCTGTGAATAACGAAACTGATTGATCAGTTTTCATCTTTTCTCACCAAGTTTTCTGCTAGTTTTATATTCTAACTCCTGATATTTTCAATCATTAACACATTGACCGTCACGGTCACTGATTATCGGAGCTTACAAATTGCTTGAAAATAATTATCAGAAGAACACTATAATAAGTATTTCTATTATACGTGTTAACCCTTAAACCTTAGACCACGGAACATGTAAAACAGTGCCTAGGTTAAAAATAAATTTTAATTTAAATTCTAATAAATAACAATACATAATCTTTAATTTTTAGTAAATCATATGGTGGTTCATGAAATTAATATACAAGATCCTCTAATATGAATATATTTAACTGCCAGATTATGTAAATTTAATTGTATATTTCATTTTTAAATAATAGATTTTAATTACCAACAAAAATTAAATTAAGTTCATTAAAAAAAGTATATATATACGCACTATACTATACATTACTCGAAAAAGATCAAGGATCACTGAAAATTGAATTTAAATATTTTGCAGTAGTATAATTTTGTATTGAAAAATTGATATAATAACATACTAAATTGATATAAAAGTAGAAAAGTCTGGTGATAAAAAGATGGATACATTAATATACATTTTCTTTGGAAAATTTTCATATTCTTGTAGACGTTGAAAATATTGGATACAACTTCAAAATATACTATTTTCATTGTTCAAAGATATCAGTTATTTAAAAAAAAATAGAATTAAAAAATAAAGAACAGATGTTAAAAACTTAAAATGCGTCATTAGTGTATTAAGAAAATAGTAAATTGTATTTTTTAATATACCTAACACAAGTGAGCATTTATCAAATCTTGTTTAATACTTTTTGAGTGAACGTTATCAAACTGAAGTCTGTAATCCATCTTTAACCCCTTGACCTACAATATCGTGTCATGCTCGTGACAAAAATTTTAAACTAAATTTGACAAATCCAAGTGTTATTTATTTTGTTTAAATATAAATGAAATATTACTTTTCCACTGTCACTTGTTAGCCTTTCGAGTAAACCTAGATATAAAATAAGTATAAAAATTTGTTCTCTTCCTAACAAATTATTAACGATAAAGTAGTTGTATCGATCATAGTTAAGAAATAAATCATAGGGCAAGGGGTTAAGAAAAAAATCTATATGATTTTTGCTTAATTCATACAATTCTCATCAATTTATTGAAGGATGGATTCTGGGGATTGACTTACGAACACTCAGCTGGCGAGGCGCCAGCGATTTTCAAGGCGTTCGAAGAATTGACAGAGAAAGTCGACGCAATGCCTCCACCGGATGAAAATACAGTGCCGTCTCATTTACCTGCGCCTGAAAAACTCGAATGGCACTTGTCTGAACAAAGTCTTAATTATATCAGAGAAGCAATGACGTCTTTCGACTAGTAAGTAGTATCGATTAACAATTACAAATGAATATACGAACCAAGAACGTGTAAATTAAGTCGAATAAAAGATTTACCAACCTTGTTATAAGGAAATATGTTATTTAACTGTGTTATTATTAACTTGTTATCGAAGAAGTATGTTATAACGTAATTGTAACTGTAATCTGCACTATAGTGTAGTGTGGTTGATCAATAATTGATAATGATGTTTTAAAAGTATATAACAGAGCTGCTTCATTAATTGTTCCATAATTTTCTGTTATTAATATTTTGCAAATATTAAAAGTGTAGCTTACAAAATAAAAATTGAAAATTTCAAAGACTAAAAATTCTCATTTTCCAAAACTAAACTTTTTATCTTGAATTGTAAAATACTTCATAATTTCAAAGAAATATTTCAATGATTAATAGGAATTCTTGTTAATATTTGTTTTCTTTTCTTACAATTATATAGCTTGGTGGAAGACTTGGATCTTTGCATTTTGTGGTTTGAAGACTACTCGAAGGAGTTTATAAAATCGTGCAAAATCAGTCCGGACGTTTATTTACAATTATCACTGCAACTTACGTATTTCAAGTAAGCATTTTGAATAAACATTATTTATTATTGTAATAGAAAAGAGAAGTAATCTTAAGAAGTGAAAAGAAAGAATATAAAATTCATAATATTTCGCAACATTACTACTTTTAGTAATTTATTACTAGCTATTATTTTCCTAAAACAAAAACAAATAAGTTACATAAAATAAATAATTAATAACAATATTAAAAGCTATCTTTATCCATATATCTAAATTATATAGTAAATTAGTTTATGTCCTAATAGTTCTATCTCATTCATTATTTTATTGATTATATTTTGATTCTACCAACAATAAATATTTTAATACATTCTTCCACATCTTTTCTTGTAAAGGATTTCAATTAATTAGATACCCTGTATATACGTGGGATCTACGACGTAATCTCCATTATGTTAACATTGACCATACCAACACTTTTCCCACAGTAACTAGTCAAATAACTGGCTACAAAATAAAGATAAACAAATTAGATAAATTTTTCTTAGTGGAAACAGAAACAAAAGGGAAGATGAATATTGAAAAACCAATTAATCGGACAGTATAGGAATTGATAGAAAACTCACTGAACAAAAGAAAACACAGATTTTAAAATCCGGTCATTGACCGATTCCCAATACGGTTAATGTTAAAACCCTTTGCGCTCCTATATCGAGTGTAAGTCGACATCAGTTTTATTTATACGTGTGCTTTTTGGTCAAGATATTTTTAAAATACGATATATTATTATGCTGTTTTCATTATTATTAATAAAAAGAATTGTTTACACTGCTTTCTGCAAACGAACTAGTTTTCAAAAGTGTACTTCAAATAAGACATTCCTAATAATACAGAGTTATCGAGAAAAAAACTGCAAAAGAAACTGGGAGTGCGAAGTGTTAATAATTGCTATTAATCGTTAATCGTTATCTGTTATTAATCATCATTATTTTATTGTTTAACATTATTCAGATTACACGGGGTCTTGGTCGCCACATATGAAAGCGCAGGCATCAGGAGATTTGCTCTAGGAAGGGTGGACTGCATAAGGGCAGCCAGTCCAGAGGCATTGGCATGGGCGAAGGCAATGTGCCAAGGGGATCCAGAGAGTCAAGCAGCGAACGAGCAGAACAACATCCCTGACAAAGGCACCAAAAGAGTTCAGTTCACCATTTACAGTGTAACTGCAACTTGGCTGTATTTTGTAGAAATCGTCTGTTTAGTTAGTGTTCGAGTAGCCGATACATACGAACAACCAGCGAAAATATACAGAAACGACACATATCACTGGAACGACAATAACGATACAATTAAATTACTTTAGTGGAATATTACGAGTTAGAAGTATGCAAAATTCCGATATTATATTACATGACACTTACAAAAGGTTGAATTGTTTATTATAAATTTGAAATTTTGAAATTAATTGTGATATTAGTGGTTAAAAAAATTTCAATTTAAATTGGTTGACAAAACAATGCACTACAATATAAAACATGGAAAATAACGAAGTCATTTTTAAACTACGTTAAAGTGATTAAATAGAGAAATGATTGTTCAAAAGGTGAGATAAAGTAAAAAAAAATTAAAGTAAACAAATATTATCTATTGAATGTTAATGAAATGAATAAAATGGCTGAACTTATGAAAACTAAGAAAAAGATAGGAAAGAAAAACAGTTCAGAAAAATCAACAAAAAGTTAAAACAAAAATTGTTGACAGGACGTTTACATTTTCATATATATCTATTATTTTATTCGCTTTATCATTTCGTACAAATATATACGCATATGATACAATATATACTTTTAATACAAAAGGATCTTTATATAAAAATATGATGATAATATATTGTAATGTATTAAGGAAGTTTACTGGGATCATGAAGCTGAAATAGAAAACAATTGAATCCTGGAAAAGCAGACCCGAGTAAAATTGAATAAGAACTTAACAATCAATTTCATAATTATCACAGAAAAAAACAAAAGTCAATTGAGAACAAACAATTAAACTCAGAAAATAATTTTAACCGAAAATTTTGAAAGCTGTCTTCTGGCAATTTCGATAAAAATAGTGTTAACCCTTTACTCGAGAAGCAGCTCTCAGTCACCACTCTATTTGATACAGTAAAATTCTAAAGTCGTATATAACATTAAACTCCGCATAATTGTTTCTTAATTTACGTGCAATTTCTCTTTCAGCAAGTTTCAAAAAATATTCTCTATATTTCATGAGAAAATGTTGAATATTTCTAATAAAAAGAACTTCCGAGTGCAAAGGATTAAGAACAAACGTGAAAATGTTATCATTCGGAAATCCCTGGACAGGGTCAGGTCTGGACAAGAGGAACGCGCGTCGTGAGAAGGAAATGAAATGATAAACGAAAGGAAAACTCTCGAAAAAAAGGCAATCAATTACGGCAGGTCGTGTTCGTTCTCCCTTGTTCGAGTGTTTGCGCGATACTCGAGTGGCCTCGGGCAACCTTCGTGGGGCTTTCCGTTTGCTTTCTTTCCGCAGTCCACCCTCGTTTGGAAAGTACCGCAACGAGCTTCGGCTGTTGTTTCTCGTTTATCACGATGTTATTTCAGACGGTCCGTTCTCCACAATTACGCCGATGTTCATCGAAAATGCACGATAATGAAATCGACTCCCTTCGTGCATGTTGTTCTCTACCCCTAACCAATGTACACGTCGTAACCATGGTAGCGATTATTCTACCATCGCCGAATAAAAATCAGAGAGTACATTTCAATGAATTAAAATTAAATTATTAACCCCTTGCACTCCAGAGGCGCCTCTCAGTCGCCAATCGACTTGATACAGCAAAATTGTCAAGTTTAATGTTAACTAGGAAACTTTGTATAATACATGAATGAATGAAATATTAAAAAGGATAGTTTTGTTCGTTAATGTATGTGCGATTTCTTGTCAATTTCAAACAATGTCGTCTGCATCTGATTAGAAAATGTTGAATATTTCTAGTGAAAAACTTCTGGAGTGCAAAGGGTTAACACTTTTCGGACGAGAATTTTTTAAACTTTTGTATATATTCGGTATTATTTTCGATAAACATTTTGTCAGTGTCAAAAATCAAAGATTAATCCTCAGTACTTCAGAAATAAGTTTTATTTGGTTTAGTTTTATTTTCCCCAAAATGAAATAATACGTAAAAATATTTTGGATTTTCTTTTTTATAGGAAGACCGAGTTATACTTCCAAGTTTTAAATACTGGAAAGAACTACATATTAATATCTCGTTATTTGAATAACTACATTATTCGTTTGCAGCTTTGGAATTTAGATATCGAAGCTCGAATTCTCCATTGTGGCGGCATTCCACTGCAAAAGATTAACACCACAAAAAATGAGGGGTTTACGTATATCGCAATTATTCATATCCTAAAATAGTTGTATATCTACAATGATTTCAAAAATCAATAGTTTCACTTCAATACTATAATGGATATACGAAGAAACTGAAAAAAATCTCTTGTTACATTCTTAAATTTTGAAAACAGAAATGTCGTAATTCATTCGTACGCAAATATATCTCGAAGTTGTTGGTTATATAAATGTAACGAATGAAAAAGTATTTATATTGTATTAAACAATAATTTCTCTCTACTGTCTGTCGTTATTCGACTCTTCAAAACCAGTCAGAAGTTTACTTTATAATGTTATCGTAAGAAGTTTCCAAAAAATGTCCAAATGGAAAATTTAAAAATGACGAAATATACGTGTCGGACATCTGACAAGGAAAAGGCCAGACATAAAAATTCGTTTTTCAATGAAACTTTGTACACGTCATAGTAAACATATCTTGAATCGCCATGCTTGGAATTCTTTTTTTCTTCGTTTTTCTTTGTTTTCTTTCGAATTATAATCTCTAAATAACTTGTATTTTATTATTGTAATATTATTCATCGCCTTATTACAGTAACATACAAACCTAAAACCATGAAAACCATGAGTATTTTTCATTTCTAAGATATATACTGTAACGTGCATAGGGTTTTATTCAAACACAGATTTTTATGCCTGGTCTTCTCTTTATAAGAAACCCTCAGGTTTTGTCATGAAATAGATTTGTGTGTATACAATTCGATGAAAAGGGTAATTTGGTGTTTTCAGTTTGGATTTCAAGAGTTCGATTTGCGTAACAGAATGACTCCGATCGATGTAAAATGTTTTTGCACGTTCATTATTATTACTGAATTCATGACCATTGTACACCGACATTTGATTTGAATCACAATTAAAACGATTCCGCTTCGTTCGTTTTCCAGCAAGAGAGAATGAAGGAGTTATTCGATCTGGCGGTGCAGAGGCAAACTAAGGAAATGAATGACAACATAAATGGACTAGGAATTGACAACCATTTAATGGGGCTGCATTACGCGGCGAAAGAAGCTGGAGAACCAGTCCCTGACATCTTTACGGATGAGGCTTATAAAATCATCAATCATTTCGCACTCTCAACGTCGCAGGTCGGTAATTATGATCAGTAATAAATCGGTGTTTGAACGTTTCATGCGGTGCTGAGCATTATCTTGATAAGCTTTCATTCAAATGTCCCATCCAATCTCTCTTAACCCCTTGCCCTATGATTTCTTTCTGAACTGTGATTGGTTTAACTATTTTGTCACTGAAAATTCTAAGCATATTCTATTTCAACGTTTGCTCTAAACTGTAATCATTAATATTACATAGTTTGAATATTTATGTTGGTTAAATTCTACTTGAAATCTTCACCACGAGTCTGTCACAATATTACAGAACAGCGGGTTAAATAATAATCATTTATCCTCTTTCCGTATTATTTATTTTTGCTGCTAAACTCGTGTAACATCGTATTATCAATATTTTGCAACAAACTCAAAGGAATTTTCTATTCTACTGTTAATCCAAATTTACTTTGAAGATAATAAATTAGTAATAGCAAAATAGTGTTCTACTTTGATCCATCTGCAACAAACAATATTTTTGTTTATTATATTAATACATTGATTTTGATTAAATTAATCCAGAAATCTTCATCATGAGTATTACATATAACTTTATACTGGTTGATTTAGCAATATTTATATTGATTTATCATTTGTTACTGTAAGTACTTGTATTCTAATTAGTATGTTTACTTTGTTTGGGATTTTACAAGCTTCCTAATTTATTTAATGATAAATATATATCTTTAACTAACTATTACTGTTTAGAATAATCTAATTTGCACATAAACGATTTAAAATTAATTTATTGTTACTTGTTAACTTAATTTCGAATAGAAGATGAATTAATTTCATCTTCACCAAAATGAAATATGGTATAAAGATATTTTGGATTTCCTTTTATATGTGAAATAATCATCGTTTAAATGACACCATTTGTTAACGGACACACAGCATAGTAATGAATTGTCATAAATGCAATCTCTTCTTCTTCAAGTCAAATAAAAAACTTTCTTTTCTAAATTCTTGGTACTTGACACAATCATTTTTGTTTCGTCAAAAGAAAGTTGGTATATACGGTAAGTTTGTTGACGGTTCAATATAAATGTTTAATTTGATAAAATACAAATTTGGAAATACGTATAATTGAAATATTAAATGATATTCAACTTTTTAAATTGAATATCCACTTTAGAAGAAGAAACCAAATTGAAGTGGAACGCGAGAAAAGTACTTTAGGAAATTCCGTTTTGAAGTTCAAGGTAACAAAGGTAACAATTCACGGGTAGAGTTTCGAGAACGGAAGTACCATTGTAGTCTCACAATTCAAGAGCCAGAACCCTTCGCAAGGTATAAAGAGGAACGAAGAGAACGTTGAAGCAGTTTTACACTGCTTCGCTCAATAGTTCCAAGATCTAGAAAATAGTAAATTTTATACATAATTTAACAATGAAAAATCGCGAAAATATTCCTTCATGTTTTCTCGTATTGTACGTAACCATCTCATACTATAGAAAATACCTACTAATTGTGAGTCAAGTATTTTATAATCATAATTAAAAAATTAAAAAACAGGAAATATCTTATGTTCTATAAAATACCTATTGAACCTAATATTCTATAATCTTAATTAAAAAACCCGGAAACAGAAATATTTTGTATTGATCGAAATGCTTATTAAATCTAGTGTTCCATTATTATAATCCAAAATCCGAAAACGCAGAAAATATCTTATATTGTACAAAATTCCCATTGACTCTAGTGTTCCATTACAATAATTAAAAAACTCGGAAGCACAGAAAACATCTGATATCGTACAAAATATCTATTAAATCTAATGTTCCATTGTTATAATGAACAAATTCGAAAACACAGGAAGTATCTTTAAAATAAAAATGACTAAATTAAATAATCAGTTTACAGAGTTAAAAAATTACAAAACGCAAGAATACATTTCTCCGTTTTCTTCCGGGCTGTTCGTAAACGTTTCTCACTGTACCCCATATCGTAAGAAATATCCACTAAATCAAGCTTGTTGTTTTCAGGTAACTACAAAGAACGATACAATCGCAGGATATGGGCCAGTGGTTCCGGATGGTTACGGGTGTGGTTACAACATCAGGGACAACGGCTTTATATTCGCGGTGTCCGCTTTCCATAGCGACGGTAGGACGAACGCGATGAAATTCGCGCAAACGCTTGAGCAAAGCTTGCGGGATATGGCGACCATGTTGAAAAATGCATCAGCTCAGCGATGAAACAAATCGTGAATTCGTCGCTGCGAATAAAAAGTAAAAAGCCACAGTAGAACCTCGATTAACTCGGAATGTTCCCTCGAAAATATCCCATGGGGATTTAAGGCTCTTTTCTATTTAGAACGAAGTCAGTCGTCAGTGTATCGATTTATCTCCATTTTCTTGAAAATTCTTGGATCTAGAGTCATTATAATATTCCTACTAGCATAAATGTTATCATGTGTGCTTCTATTAACACACAGACAACCACTCAGAAAGAAACTGTGATTATAATGTTTTCCACTAACTTAAATCGAACTCAATTAACAGGTTTCATTAAAAATTATGTTCCAAAAGAGCAAGAAAGATATCTAATGAATTGCAAGTATCCCCAGTTCAAGGTTTACTAGATAATCAAAAAGAAAAAATTAACAAAATAAATGGCTGTGCGTTGCTAAGTGAAAAGTGGGAGACTTGCCATTCGGTTGGTTAAGTGTTAACCTGTTAACTGTGGAATTTAATTTAAAAAATCTCTCATTGTAAGCTTAATGAAATCAAACAATGAAGTGTATACTAGTCAGACGCTGGAAAAATGCACCTATAATATATTCTAATGAGAAACTAAAACGAAACGAAGAAGAACTACATGTGTGTCTGAACAACTAAATAATTGATCGGTAAAAAAATTGGTACCATTTTACGTTTTAAGAAGATGTGTACACTCATTAAGCGCAGTAAACTAATTAAAAGAAGTGAATCAGTTTAAACCGTACCTATTCATATTTAATCATGCTTCTGTCGACTTCAATGGCCGAGAAGCTACCAAGTTAATAGGTTCAAAGGAACAGGGCAAAGGCAACTTAACAGAGGGTTTAAATATTTTCCAACAATGTGAAACAGTTTGGGGTCATTTATTTTCTGAGTAGGATACTTGGAGTAGGATTTTTTAATGAAAAATAATACGAATGAATATTTAAACTTTTATTTAATATTTCGAAATAGTATACAACTGTAGAAAAATGGTAAAATTACCATACCAATATTAGCATCTTTATCATAGAGGAAAATCAACAAATAGAAAGAAAAAAGAAATAAAAAAGTGTGGAACATAATTTTTATTTTATCTCCATTTTTTTAATAGAGCAAGAATATTAAAAACGATTCCAAATGTTTAAGTACTGATACGTTTACACAAATATTTTTAAATATTTTTAAGAACAATGCATTTATTACTACATAAAAATTCTACCTTTAGTTTTTAAATATATTGCCAATAACTTCTTTTCCATTTTCGATTGCCCGCTGAGTTTTATCTGAACCAGTTCGTGCATTTTCCAGTTAGGTTAATTAATCGAGGTTCTACTGTACTGTACCAAATCGAAGTCGTATTAACCTTCACGCTGCAATTTTTAATTATTATCAAACGAAACTGTAAGCCCACCACACAATTCGATTTTAGTTCATAATTGGAACTTATTTTTCTTTAAAACGAGGCTCAATAATACTGTGGCACATCTCTAGTCTACTGTTTACCATCACGGAACCTGGTCGAGCTTCAATATATTTTTCTCCAAAATTGCAATTTTTAAAAGCACATTAAAAAATATTTAAAAGTGAATGAGGAAATTACTAAATTACAAAATTAATAATTCACTACATGAAAAATTAACAATAATTCGAGTAAAAAATAATTACTTTATCAGTTCTGTTACATATGTTCCAAATTTTCTTAGTCATTTTCCCGTATAGAATTTTATGACATCAGAAATGCTAATTTTGCAGCGTAGAGATTAAAACAAAATACGTTTAAACATATCAATGAAAGTGTGCAATTAGGCCAACACATCTGGAACTTCTGTTTCTGTCGTTTGAATCTTATTCTGAAACAGAACAAGTTACATATACAGGGCATATTTATAACACTGCTGGTCAAAGTTCAATCCATTTAATAATTAATAAGTACATATATTACAATGTTATAAGATTCAAATGGGCGATTAACAGTGAAAAGTTATATTTCTCGTTGCAATTAGAGGATTCCTATCGATTATAGTCACGGTCACATGCAAGTCATGTTATTAAGGTTTCCTATTAATTTTAGAGAATGGTCTCATACGGATTAACATAGTTTAAAGAAATTGTTTATTAATTACGATGATGAAACTACAGTGATTCGTATTATCTGTTATGTAAGTATAGTTTTCTGTTCATTCGAACGAAGTAGTCATAGGTAAATCGTATAACTTAAAAAGCTTTCTATTAATCTTTTAAAAAATGGCCACATGTGGTACATGTAAATTAGGAAGCTTTTTATCAATTATATCAGCCACCCATGGTGATTAGCGCTATGTATGATACAAACTAGTAGAACTGCAGTGGGCTAGACACTACTAACTCATACGGTCTACAAGGATTTTGTTAATCTTTGCAGAATTACTGCATGTATTTCATGTTACCTGAAGTCATACCAGTTGTAGTAAAGGCTTCATCGTTTTTGACAGCGTAACCTACCAGAATGTCGTGTTATCTACCAAATATTTTATTAACACTTTATCGACTAATGGATCCACGAGGCATCAAATACGCTACTATCAAAAGAACGTTAAATTAATATTATAATTAAACAGGCTGTTCGTTCTAATTCGAAAATATAAAATAGTTCCTTTTCTGTTAATAATACGAAAAAAGTTTTCGAAGGAAATTGTTCAATCCATAAAGATACGCATCTGGATATGTCAACATTTTCTTTGTGGTTGCATTTTTAATGATTTATAACAATCGAAACTGTCTATATATGAAACAAAAAAAATTCTTGATCTTTAGGCAGATTTGTATAATAAAGAATTTGAGTAAGAAAACAAAAATTAACATATGTAGGAAGGTGCGTAATGCAGGTTTCTTTATATAGTTAAATTTGAAAATAACTTTTTTTCGTTTACTTGTTAGTTGTTTCAGAAAATATTAAAAATAATTTATACTGATTATTTCGCGTAAGGGGATTTGATAAATGAATAATTGCTACAAGTAAATAACCTTTTTGCAGTTCTTGTTTATTTACCTATAAGGTCGTTATAAAATGTTAAAAATAATATATAATTTTATTTAAAATAATAATGTCTTTCAATTTTTACATGTATCATAAATAAAATCGGAGATACGCGAGGTGCTTAAATTAAATGAAAAGCATTAAAAGTACACAGGATGTTCCCACAATCTTGGTACAAGCAGAAAATGTGTGTATCTATGTGAAAAACTCAGACGAAAATGTAGAATAGAATGTTCATCATATGAAAAAATGTTATTCTACATTTTCTCAGTTTTTCATATAGAATAATTACCTTTCTGATTGTATTACAATTTCTAAAACATTGTGCAATGGTTCCTTCGATAAGGTGTTAATTATGAAACAGAAACAAATGGGTTATACACCTCTACGTTTCTAAAGGTCCTTAGAAAAGGGAAACACGTTTCGTACGCAATAATGTAATACTTATAGTAACGAGGATAGCCAACTTAAGAAAAATGTTAACATTATAGATATATGTACCGGTGCTTGTAATTCGCACACTTTATCAGACATCGCTGGTTCGTTGTTCTCCGCCTTGTTCGCAAGGAAAATTATCGTGTGTATCTAGACTAATTTTAGAGTAGCTCTTGTAGGCGAAGATTTCTTTACCAATGATTTCACACATTATCGTGAGTATCCTTCCCTTTCGTTAAAACGTAGTTAAAAACTCCAATGATGAGGCGAACGTGAGTCGATGTTTATTAAATTTGCAACTAGATTGTTGTTTCAAAGATTTCACAGAAATCATCCTTGCATTAATATTGCTACAAGTACGAGTCCTTTAGAGAAATTGCGCCACACTGATAAAAAATTACGTTGGAAATTGGAAATTGTTATTTGCTGAAAAGTAATATTTCATTCATTGTACACGCGGAAAATGAAGTAGTGATTACCTGCACAGAAAAACATCAGAAATTACAATACTTCATGAAAAATTAATGTATCTTTGCAGCAAATGAACATACTCTAGGTTGAGTTAAATTTAAATTTAAATTAACCTTAGGTTGTATTTTTTAAGTAGGTCGCAAGTTTTAGTAAAATCTCAGATATGAGTATATTTATATTTAATATTACTTAATACCATTTCAAAAAATCGGATTAGTTTTCGGTCGTATAAGTATTTCAACTCTAATTAAAAAAACAATAGCTCCATCTTACAGTATGTAATTGTTTTAATTCAAAGCTCAGTGGAACGATTTTTCTCTAACTCCTATAGATACATCAGCAATTACATGTTTATATTTGTGCATTTTAATTGTCAAGCATCATTTGAAAGATCTATTCATCAAAAAATCATTGATTGCTATAAAGTACTCATCATATCCTCAGAACACTGTATAACAGTCATCCTTCATAGAACGAATTGCTATTTCCTCGTAATGGACGCTATAATCTAATGACCCTTTCTTAAAAACAGGCGTACAAATAATAAGCGACCGAGTTCGACTAACAGAGACGGAAATTGTTTAAGTCGCTGCGCGTACTTATTGTTAGTAGGCAATATAGATCGATCGGTCCATTATGAAACACTAGTCAAAGTCCTCGAACATTATAGTCCGAGCGCTGGAAGTTCCTTTCCTCTGAAAGTGAACGGTTATTTCCGTATGGTTTCATTATTATTCGTACATTATAATTAATAATTAACATTTTATGTTGATTTCTTACTGGTAGGGCATAAGTAAAGTATCAACGTTTTAAAAAATGATTTGATCTTATTGCTTGATACGATCTAGAGAAACTAACCCCAAGGGTTAATATTACTTATTAGGAAGTGAATCAGATAAAAAAGAACATTTTAGTGTGGGATTATGTTTAGGTAGAGTCTCAGTTGACTTTAGATGTAACTACAGCATAATTTGGATGTATTGAATATGTTTAAGTATTTAATCGAACTTTTAGGTGTGGATTAGATCTGATGTTTAAGTTATGTCTAAAAGTATCGTTATATGTGGACACATTCAAACCTTATTCTTATCTAGTTCAAACTTAATTTGTGCCATACCTCAAAAGATTAAAATATATACATATTTAAAATATTTAAAACCTAGACGAAGATTTATTGAATGTTTATGTTTGAATGATCTAAATTGGACCTAAGTTGAATCAGAGTCTGATCTAGATTAAATGGATTCTATCTAGAAATGACCTAAATATATCAAACTGCCTGGACAGTCAAAATTTTGAAATTGTGGTAAAACGAAATTTTGTTTGGTAGGTTAAAAATGATATAAAAACGAATGAAATTATGTAATATATTATTGCGTAATAATTCGGAGTCTAATTGTGACGTATAGCATATGGGTATTTAAATCAGACCTAATTTTCAATTTGGGGTAGATTTGAAACTTGGGTCTTCAGAAACCAACGAAATTCTATGATCTACGTTAGTTTCGCCTATCCACGCAAAGGCAATTAAAAAAAGGTTTAAATTAGTGATATTTAGAAATATTTAAAGGCTGCAACGTCCGAACGTTCAGCTGTATGTTACAAAAAATTCTGAATAATTTAGAGTAAACTGTTAACTTAATGATGGTTATTGGTAGGTTACAGACTAGATTTCTGTTTGTTGCCAAGCAATTGTAAATGTTACTGTTAATTGTATCTACATGATGTATATGTATGTTATATTTTATTGTTTCTGTATATATGTGGTAATTTTCAAGATTCACTTATGTAATAAGTGTTTAAAATTTCCTTATGTAATATGTTATGTATAAGTAATTCTCTCGATTACACTAATTTATAATTTTGTAATATAATTACCCACAGTTTAGAAGTGGTATGCGATTCGCAGTGGAACGTTAAGTATGAAAAAAAAGTAAATACGTTTATATTAGCTTTGTAAATTTGTTATCTTAAGCAATTGTTGATAATTTTGAATGTTCTTTATCAATAAAGCGAACATTCCTCGTACAGTATCTCCAATAGACGCAACGAAGAGACAGAATACTGCATAGAGGCTGATAAAGCTAACTTCTTTAGGTAGAGAAGAGATTTCTAGCGCGCGGACCTCGTCTGTCGCAACACATATTAAATGTGGCCAATCGTTCGTGTGTTGGCGCCCGCACAGTAAACTCTTGTCCAATTCTTAGGTAGGTCGGCGGATCGTCCTTCTCGATAGACCGGCGAACGTCGACGATAGCTCTATTTGTCTATCACTTTAATCTTCTACGTCTAATAACTACTGTAACTAAAGCTACTTCACTAAGTACCGAATTCTGCCCACAGTAAAAACGATTCATCTTTCCCCTTGAAAAAAGTAAACAGTTAGTCGGCGCTATCACAAGCAGGATATGGGGTAGATCGTAACGTATTTTGGATATTCATCTTTCTGTAATTACATAAGTAGGATCAAGGGTACTAAAACTCGAACATAGTTACTAAAATTGTTAGAGAATAGCTTAACATTGCGAAATAACTGTTTCCATTAACTGTCAGAGCCTGTAATGTTACTTTCATGAATCGTGTGTTGCCGGAAAATATGACATTCATTAGGAAACTATCTGTTAAGGAAACACGCGACGAATGACTGTGTACCTATATAACACTCAATCATTGCTGAATGTTAGTGGATCTACCGCATACCTTGTTTATACCTGTAATTTGTAACTACTTACAGACACGCACATATATATATACATATATATAAAACGCATTTGTTAACATTATTCATATTTTACGACGTTGTTCGTTAACTTTGTTGTATACTACTTCGATTGTACAGTCACCCGTAGTATAAATGTCATCGAGTTTCGGAATGTTCCCTCACGTGGAAGCATAAAACAAAGTATGTAGTAGTTTCATCTGTATTGCCGTTACGCGATGAGTTTATTAAGTATTCAATTGATCGGGAAAGTTTTATATTCAGAGTCTAAGGAAAACTGCTTTATTGTAACCATAAAATGAATCTTTAACTAGCGCGGGGAATTGCGGCGGTTCCTTGTATTGTTATCTACTAACGTTACATATAAGTATACATACACACATGTACGCACATATCAAGTAACGTTTACTTATGTAAGAGTATGTGTATGTATGGTATATAAAAGTGTTCTGTATATTAATCATAAGATGCAAATACCTATTATGTTTAAGGTGAAATAGAATTACTTATGTACATCGCGAAATTATTTGCGATTGCACCTCTGCGGCCAAGAATATCACGCATATCAGGCGAAAGCCATCATAGCGATGATTTTATTGAATAGGACATGTCCTCGTAAGATAGAATTGCTTATAAAATAAAGGTGACTGAACTAAAGTAGTCTATATTCAAAAGTTCAGTTGAACTTTATTCCAAAAAATAATATTGTATGAAGACTACTGTTATTACAATGAAATTATGTATTGTCACATGAGGTAATGATAATTATAAACAATCCGAGTAATCATGAGAAAGCATGGTTCAAAAAAACAGTCGTCTTCGTGATCAATAATATCTAATGGTCAATAAACTTGTAAGCACATATCACTTTCTGTTCATACGGAAAGTATACACGGCATACCTCTGTAATTAATTAATGAAAGTATGTTGTATCATGTGTATGTATGTTTCCTTGTGCAAAAATAAACACTATTGTGACACCACCTTTTACTTCAATTTTATTCTGTTTATAATACAATATTTATTCTACAGTCTCAGTACATTATTTGACTAAGAAAGAAAATAATAATACACCTTAAATCTTACAAAAAATAATTTAAGATACATTTGTTAATGTACAGTGAAAGTACCTATTTCTGTAATTGGAATGTTATACTAAAAAAATGTCTTTTATGCCTTAATACTGAGTAACCAATATTGTTTATTTATTAATTTGAAGATCTAATTCATATATAATTTCGACATGATTTTATTAGGAACTCGAAATTTATCGAAGTTTCACGAAAGAATTTTTGAAATAAGTAAAAACATTGGTGTTCTAAAAGTATTTTTTATGTTCAACTAACCAACAATAAATTTAACCTGATGCAGGTGATGATACAAGATTCTCCATTCTTTCAAACCGAAAGATTCTACAATTGAATTGGTATATTAGGCTTGATGTCGCGGCATCGTTAAATCAGCATTGACGTCCTCATATGCTTGAGCAAACGGTAGTGCGAGTAAGGCATTCGCAGTTAATCTTTTCTTGGGATCATGTTGCAAGCACTTTTTTATTAAATCAACCCCTTCAACAGACAAATTTTTTGGTAACGATGGTGTCTCACCCATTCCCACCTATAAAAAATTTGATACAACAAATATTATTATTAAAAATACAGCATTATTCAGTAAGAAATATAATGCATTTATTAAAAGATACCTTAAACATGATTTGATAATTAGAATCATATTCTGACCATGGCCTTCGTCCACTAGACATTTCTATTATGCAACAACCAACTGACCAAATGTCAGCAGCTCTACCATGACCACCAGTTTCCGTTTTCATGAACACTTCCGGTGCCATATAAGCTACATGAGGTAACATAAAATTAATTTTTGATTCAATGTAAAATAACTAAAAGCATTCATTACTTACCCTGAGTACCAACAAAACCTTGTAATTCACCAGGCATAGTGGTATGTGCCTTAATTTGCACAGCACTACCAAAATCTCCAAGTTTCAAACAATTACCCTCATCCGTTAAAAATATATTTGCAGCTGCGCATAAATAATATATATATACGTTATTATAGTTAAATGCAAAGATGTAAATCAATGAACATATTACAAGGACATTCACTTTTAATATCGCGATGTACTATTCCATGAAAATGGAGAACTGCTACTGCCGAAAGAAGCTGATGAGTATATTTTCTAGCTAGTGACTCCGGTAAACCAGTCCCACTACCAGCTATTAAACTTTCTAAGGTTCCTTCAGCACAAAATTCCATGAAAATTAACATTTCTTCCTAAAACAATATATTTTTATAATAAGTCTTTAATCAAAGGAACAGTGTACATACACATAGAAACTTACCCGATGAATTTCTAAACCATAGTATCTAACTAAATGTTGGTGCTGAATTCCTTCAAATATTTGTAATTCCTCAGCAACTCGCCTAATTGCTCTGTGATCTCCAGGTTGCAACTGAACTTCTTTCATAGCTAACAGTTCACCAGTTTGGTTATTAACCACTGTATATACTTTACCAAACCTTCCTTGTCCTATAGTTAATTTTCGTTAATATATCGTGCATATATATTGTATTCAAAATTGATACACATTGATATAGTTATTTATTGTACATTTAATGCATATAGAATTTACCTATTTTAATACCCCTTTGCCAAGTAAAAGTGACGCGTCTTGCTTTGACACGAACTCTGTCAACAGCTTTCCTATCTGTAACTTGTCCAATAAGTTCACGACTTCTTAGTCTTTCGTCAATATCAAACTCCACCTTTTTTATGGCACGAACAACTCTCTCTTGTCTTGACACACTACGATTGGATGCATTCAAAATCATAGTTATGTTTCCATCAACTGCGGTTGGTGAAGGTGCCTTTTTAGGATTCAACGTGGTATCGGGGGACTTGAGAATTTCTCTTGGCTTCTGAGAAAGACTCAAACTCGCAGTTCTACTTCTTGCAGTACAAGGCGATGAAGCTCTCGAACGGGATAATCTTCTTATATCTAAAATCAAGTATAAAGTATTCAATTATGTTATATAAATGATCTGACAATACCATAAAAATAGATACTTACTTTCTGTTTCTGTATTCATAGCAGTATTGGCACTTCCAACAACATGGGATATACAACGATCCATAGATGTTTTTAACTCTTCAAATTCCTCATCGGTTAAGTGTTTTGTATTATGCGGTTCACACACTGTAATTAAAAATTCTAAACCTTGGTTTGCCCACCTAGGTCTTAAACCTCTTCCTCGTTCACATCTAGTTCTAACGAATTCCATCCACAAAAGAGCAAAAGCAACTAATCCCCGTGCCAGTGCAGCTTTTTCCCCTACTGTAAATAATTTGCAAGTCTCTTTGTGGTAGTCGAAACCCATCCGATAAGCCTGATGAAGTATTTCTCTTATTCTCGATCGCATGGCAGATCGTTCGCTTTCAGCATGCGGTTCTTCTGCTTGCTCAAGGTCACGTTGAAAATTTTCAATAACATTTGTTATCTGATACCGGAGACCCATAACTGTTTCCTATAAAGAACCAGTTATTACGTGAGGAAACATTAATTTCCTTTAATAATTTACCTTTAAAGTCGCTAGCGATTCCTCTAACTTTTCATTGAAAACTGGCCACTTCTCGATGTCACGCTGCAGACATCTAGCCAAGGAGACACTCTTTACAACTTTCTCTCGAGCTTCTACAAACATCCCTTGCCATTCTCGCCCAACGTACATTAGTTGAAATCTAAATCATATATCAATATAGATTACTTATTTGTTACTTACATAATTTACGGAGAAATAAATGTGTTTTTTCTTACTTATTTGTCCAGTCCTCATCACTCCAATCCTCCGTGGTTTCTTTAATTTCTCGAGGTCTCTCATTAAGGAATTCTTTAAGTTGTTTAATCATTGTTTTTGCAATTTCACTGTAAATGAGTACATGAAAATGTGACATGATAATTTACAAATGTTATGCCAGCTGAAAGTATATTCTAACAAATAGAAAATTATAAAATAAAATATAAAGCCATGCAATTTTACAGCCAATTTAAAATTATATACAAGAAATAAGTACCGTTTACGTTAATTTAAGAAGAATTAATCATTCTTGAGATATGACTTCAAAAATGGCGGGATAGATATCAAAATGGTACAGCAATATACAAAGTAAACTAAAGCTTACCAAAACTTCACACCAGCAATTTCGTAACCATCTAATATATTTCCTGCAATTGATTTTACAAATATCCATTCATCCATTATTAAATTCTTATGGAAGCTATCATGTTGCACCATATCCACCCACTGTTGTAGATAATCAAGGTATACTTCAAAAACGGCTTTCAAACTTTCGTCAAAATCTTTCACATCCTCTTGAAACAAATCTTTGTAGATACTAATATCATCGGCAACTGCTCCACTAGAATGCGCGACAAATCTGTCACGATGAATACACGCTATTCTAAGGCCTTCCCTAAGTTCACGCATAAGTTGTCTAACAGATAACGGACTAGGTTGTTCTGGCTTTTGTTCCAACCTCATTCTCAGAAATTCATGAACAACATCCAAAGGTACTCGAGAAAGGAACACGAAGGCAGCTCTAAAAAAAGTATCATTGCTTTATATCAAAATATAAGATTAATTTGTATGAACATATTACTCCAGTTTTCTACCTGTACGACGGAAGATTCAATTCTTTAGCCTCGGAACTCCATACACCGTATCTACGCAATTGTTTGTCACCTTCATATTCTTCGTTTAAATCACTTGAATCACTTTCACTTATATCACATTTTTCTAACGTCAGTCTTGCTTTTCTCAAAATAGATGTATGCAATCTCTCGAGAAAATTCAGACTTTTCCCAAGACCTCTAGTTTTCAATACATCTTCAATATATTTTCTGCATAATGGAACATGTGATTAGAAAATCGTAATTCAAGAAAGATAAAAATTTTTCAAATTGTAAACAAATTTTACCTGTAAGCTTGACGATCGAATTCAACTAAATAAAAATCGAGTCTGTCAGTCTTCTCATCATCAATACACGTAAAAGAAGTTTCGGGAGTAGAAGGCCATGAGTGCCCAACAGATATCCCAGCAGAGGAATTGTTGCTGTTGTTACTATCAGAAGGGCTCGAACTTTCTTCTTGTGGATTAGATATATCAAACCTCACCGACGTGTGTCGTTGTTCTGAAGAATCAGTTGTATCTGATGATCTTGAACTGAAATAGAAACGATTGAACATGTTTCATTTGCTATCGACATACGGTGAATAATTTGTTTAACGTTTTCAACATTTACCTAATCCCAGAATCCACAGTATCGTCCAATTTTTTTTTCGTATGTGACATCATTAATAATTTTCCCAATATTTGTAACTTAAGTCGATGATGTTTGGTCATATTGTACCAAAGACACATTGCTTTCACTCTACCAGTGAATTCTGCACTTTTATATAAGGGATAGTGTGCACCCAGTGCCTGAGAAGATGGATAAAGAGCTTCAGCTGCATCTAGTCTAGCCAGCAGACCTTCTATTTGTTGTAAAGCTTCTCCTTGTGCTCTAGCACAGGGTCTACAATACATTGAAAGACATCCTGGACAGGTACTTAATTCTACGTTTGGGCTAGACCCAGGATTCATTACTCGGTCTATACACATATTACTGACATTGATCCAAGGCCCGTTATTATCTCTTGTATTAACAGTGGGATTGTATCTAAAAAGAGATAAGTATTGTCGAGAAGGTATACGTTGAAAGAGTTGCTTATCAACCGCATTAATCATTCCCTGTTACTCCAAATATTTAAAAGAACTGAAAGGTCTTAAGGAAGAAGAAAGAAGAACTAAAATTAAAGGGTAAAACTGATCAAATTGAGAACTTTCTGAGAATTCACTAGAACGGAATGTTTGAAATTTCAGTCACCATAAATTCTTAAATAATATACCTATATTCCATTATTTCTGTAAGTAAACCTTCCACAGCATCACGTTGCCTACATAAGTACTCATCCTGTGCCATTGGACTCCGGTCAGCGTGGTGAGCCTGTAATTCCAACCATATTAAATCCTTCAATTCATTTTGCCACCTAGTCTCTTCATGACTCATCTGACGACGACAATTGCGCTCTGTGCTTCCCTAAAAATGATCAACTGATATTAAATTTAATAAAATAATTTTCCAAAATTATATAAATTAAATCACTATATTATTTTTAGTACTAACTTAAAAAGTTTACAAATCAGTTGTTATACAGTCTATTGATAATTGAATTAAATACTTTTTTAATTACAAACTATATAACATTAACGTTATTAATGAATTAACTTCGAGATATATCTTAAACTGTACACGCACCAATTTTATAAGGAAAGAAAATGTATCATGAAATATTTCTCGTTCTTTGAAACTCAACGTCTTTGGCGACTGTACGACTGGTTCCGAATTGCCTAAGATTGTACGTTGCTCGATGACTTCGGGTTGAACCTTCTTCTCCTCTACATCGACGGGCTTTGACCGTAGACACCGGAATCTATTTCTAGTTTCAACCTGTAAACACTTCCAATTAGTTCTGGTTTGAACAGCGGCCAAAAAATCATTTGGAATTCGAATGATACAGATTGTTCCTTTAACGAACGTAATACCTTCATATGATTTGGCGTAGACGCTTGGTAATGATCCGATTTCTCAGCATAATTGTAGGCTGCCTCTATATCTAACTTTAAATCCCTCTCGTTGCCGCGCAGTAATTTCAAACTTCTTTTACACTTCCGATTCCCATCTTTGGATGTGTCAAGATTCGCCTCGTCCTCGCCATCTCGATCCGCTTTGTCGCACATTTCGTTGAAAATTATATTGTCTAACGTGTTTCGCCTACGAAACGTTATTTTTGACGGCGTTTCTTTCTCTACGATCTTAAAATCCCTATAATCAAATGAGAATTGCGATGTTAATTTATGCATTAATCGTTTAATTGTACTAATTTAATTAATAACGCTTTCATAAACATCACAGTCATCAAAGCGATCATCAATGAACAGTTAATTATTTCCATATATTCAATCTTCTTGTATTGTAAACTTGTAATGTATGATACGAATACTATTTC